AATCTTCGAGACGTTGCCAGTCCTCTCGTACGAGGAACCAAATACCTAGGTATCTGCACCGACGAAGCCCCCATGTATCTACTTTCTCGATCATGGCACGATTGCCATCCATACGCACCCAATGATTGGGCGGCTCCCTACCTCAGACTCACTCGCCGCATTGGAGCGACGAGATACCTGGCTGGTTGAATAATGCCCAACTAGCCATGCCGCGAGATCATACGTAACAACATAGCACCGCCCGTTGGCTCTTGGTAAATAGACTGTTGCAGAACGGTTGCACAATTGCGATTACACATGACGACTGGCAAAGGTGCTTTGAATTCCAAGATTACATAGTGAAAACTAAACAACACCATAATGCAAGATTCGACGCCTGCTCCATCGCGCTAGGGTATCTGGAAGGCCACGTAAAGAAAGGAGGCGGACTATCTTCCAAGCCAGCACGGCCCGGTCACATCACACGCACTGCCATCCGCCCGGCCGCAAGCCGAGCCGGGACTGGTGGTGTGATACCGGGTCCGTCTTCAGCGGACCCGCCCTCCGGTACCGGCGGTGCCGGTGCGGTCGCTGCCCTCGCTCGGGTCTCCCGCGTCTGCCAATATTGACTTCGGCAAACGGGACAATCAAATCTTTCAATCAAGAACCACGACGAGAGACACTTGGCGTGGAAAGCATGTTGGCAGTTCTTTAGCGTCAAGATATCATCATCTTCGGACGGTTCACTTGCAGACGCGGACAATTTTCTCTTCCACGGCCACGGCATATTCCAGCTTCGCAGTATGGCCTTCACATCACGAACCTCATCCGTACCTCCGACCGTAGACCGGCTTGTCTCTTCCCCACTTCCTTCTAGAACACGGGTGTGCCCACCGGAATCGGGGGCCTTCAGGGTGATCCCTTGCGTCGGTACTGCTCCGGCAGCATTGCAGTTGCTTGAGACGAACAGTGGACCGATACAGATGGGACTATTGGTGGCAGCGTTAGCGACCTCGGTGTATTATGCATTGGCGAACTCTGTTGTCGGCTTCCCCCGCGAAGATAGCGCACGCCTCATACCCAAGGCTTTCCCCGCAGTGACCAACTTGGCGAGAGATACTCACCATTCCGGTTCCGAGTCATGCCGATTGAGCTTCGACTCGAGATCCAATCCGTCGAGGGTAGTGCTATTGCACTCGGAAACTGTGCTCAATTTTCGTCGGGCGTCTTGGAACTTTGATGTCTTGGGATGATATTTGCGACGGTCTTGTATGCGCAGATATGTGAGGCGGACTCTAACGACACGCATGCTCATCAGCTCCTCGTAGCTATCTTGCTTCGGAGAGGGGGGTTCAGTACGGTCTGTACAGCGGCCCGCAGACGAGAAGGACCATGAAAAGCGTAAGCAAAATTATGCCAAGTTCGTCCATGCAGCCGGTGGGTGCCCGACGAGGGGCATGCCAGACTCCTAGACCGACTTGAAAGTGATAACGGGCACTTCTTGCGCAGGTTAATCGCGAGTTCTTCAATGCCAACAACAGGATGTGTTGTGGCTTTCAAAAGCTGCACATCGCATCTGTGGTGAGAAATGCGGCGACGGCGACCATTTAACTCGGCAAATGTCGACAAGCGGCGGCGCAACCAAGGCTGATCAGATGACAACAAACGCTACATAGGCCGACGAGGCACACCTACAGAACCCTCGTGAATGGCTGGAGTCAAGAGCCGAGTTGGTGATACGCCAGATGCGAGCTCTCTGCCATCAGCCACCAATACCCCTCATTCACCCAAGAGCACCGGCGTTCAGCTATGGTGTTCTCACAGCTGGGCGCCCAGTCTTCCTTGCAAATGGCTGTTTGCTTGAGATAACAATGAGTCGACGAGTTCCAACTTCCAACAAGGCCACACATGGCTCATTATCTTTGATTTTCTCTATCCATACCTGCTCAAAACCCTCACGATATCGTTCTTCGTGGGCCAAGAACCTTGGCTGCAAATTACGCCGAATCAGACGCCTGTCCAGATGCAACTCTTTCTGGGGGTTAGATAGAATGGCCCAGGTTTGTGACGTAAAACTGGCGTGTGATACTGGTCTTGGTATCCTTGGTAAGCGGCGGGACGCCTCTACTACCTTGCCTCCGTTTTCCCAAGAGAGGCCGATGAGTCTGTCTGGACTCCTGGGCAAAGAGACTGAACTGCAACGGGGCAGGAAACGAAACGCAAAAACGAAGCAACGGAGGGGTTGATTGACCTTACACAGTAGATACCCTAACCTTTTCAGTGGATGGGCGGGGGGATGTTGGGGTGACGAGGACTTTCACCAGGGAGTGCCCCTCCATATCCCCTTTACCCCCTCCGGAAAGTTGGAAACTTTTGAATGAACCGCCATGGAGACCCCGGGATTTGGAGGTGAGAAACATCTACGGAGTACTCCAGACTCCAACTATCCAACACCAAGACGCATCCACGAACCCCAGGAGAGCCGGCGGCGGCGCTGGAGGAGAGGAAAGTGGACTTTGGAGGAGCGGCGCCGGCGCCCAGCAGGCCGGCCAAGAACCGCCAAGTTGCCCGTCATCCCTTGGCTGCCAGACTGACCTACCAGAGGTTCAACTCTTCTCATTTGCAACCCACCTCATATGTCCACCTCGGGGCGGCCAAGACGTCCGCCGTCCAATACCATCAGCTGACCAGTGTCTCTTGCGACACCGAATGGAGAAATGCGATCAAGCATGCTGGAGAAGGGTTTGGCAAAGACCCTGCTCCGAGTATCCCGCAAACGTGCACTGGCATGATGAGCTGGAAGGCGTGGTTGTAGCTGGATAGGCCGGGCTATTCGCGGCCTTGTTTTCTATGCCCAGAAAACATCGGCCTATCTGAGGGGCTCACGATATCTCTCTACACATTTCGATAAGTCTCCGAATTGGGCTCCTACACTTCTCGCCCAGTATCTAGGCGTCTCACTCGGGGTGGCTGTGTTTCTGGGCGGACCCGTTCTTCCCCCGCCCGTGTTGCGCCCGAGTTGTCGTGAGTCGGTGATAGTGGGTCAAGATCCCGGTTCATGTTCGTCCTCTCCACGTTCCTCGCAGCCGTAATTTGTGTAGACTCTGGGCAGGCGTTCTCGTGCGCGGGGTTCAAAGCAAACCATGAGGGGAGAGAGGTTGAGAGGAATAGCGACGGAAGACTTCGACTGACGTTGTCAAGTGTAGATGGTGTGAGTTGAATATGGTCGTCCGGATTAACGGAGGTTCGGAGCCCACCGATCAAGTTCGAACCCGCATATTTACGGCGTGTGAATCTTCGGAGAGTGACCGAAACTATCGGGAACTTTTGCGACTTTGACGGTGCCGGCGTCTTGCCATCGGCGTCGAAGACGTTCAATAACGCGTCCGCTCACCTTGAACGACCTGGACAACAGACGGCGCTTTATAGTTGTGCAGAGCACTGAGAGGCCTCCCAAGCACATGGTGCGGCAGTTGTCGTATGCTGTGTGCGTCACCTTCTGGCGCCCGTCACTTACAACTCCGGATCTGGCATGTCTAGGTCCTGGCCATGAGAAGGAGCCGGAAGAGCAGGATGAGCCAGTTGACCGTCGTGCAGCCGGCAGCAGGGAGAGTGGAGAACGGCGGGGGAAATGGCACAGAGAGCCCCTCGTTGAGTCTTGAAGAGCTGTTTCCGACGTACGAACCGCGCTGCCCAGGGAACATGTTAGCTTCTGGGCACTTTCTTTGGATGTACACATATCCCTGCGACAGCTATGATCATCACCCGGCGGCGTATACCATTTCTAAATCTATTGTCCCTATCCGTACATATGGGACACCCCGGAGTCAGCTCAGCGACACTGAGCTAGACTCGGCCTTACCGCAAGCCCGCCAGTGTTACACTTCAAACCTGTCAAGCCTACAGCCTACCTTAGACTTTGAGAAAATTGTACGGGTACGGTCTACGACCAACCACAGTATACGATCTTGGCGCTATTGCAGATACACTACTGCAGAGGTGACAGCACCCCTGCAACTGGCAACCTTCTAGAAGGAGGGCACCCCCACAATGGATGTTTCTTGGAAGGCAGAGAGATGTCTTACTGGCCGGAGGCGTAGTGGAGAAGGCAGAAACTCTCGTCTTCTGTCTTTCTGGGCGCAGCCAAATTCATCACCGAAAGCATCGATCCCTCAACCTCACCCACCCCCTCCTCCATGCTCTTGTCTCTGGCGGGTCCAATTGTATTCTCCATTACAATGCCCAGCACCGCTCTCAGCCTCTCGAGGAGCGGGCTGCCCAGAATGAGGCCCGCTGCCCAGAGTCTCGGCAGCTCAACATGGCAGGCGAGGGCGTCGAGATCCAACCAAGATCTGGATTGCGTGCTATTGAATCGCTCGCGTGTTCACGACCGATTTTCGGTCGAACAGCTTGAGATTGCCCCAACATCATGGAAAGCCTGAGGGTACCCTTGAAAGAGCCCCGCGCAGAGCCGCCAAGGCTGAAGGAATGCGCCCTCGACACCCATGAGAACGCTTGTCACGGACCGCGAGGAAACTGATAGATGTGGGCGTTTTACGCCCCCCTCGTACTGTCCGTCTATCTTGTTATGAAGTCATAACGCCCAGAGATGATTCCCGTCCCGGGGCACCAAGTACATGTATACATGTTCTCCCAACTCCCCTCTCGAATCTTTGGCTTTTTGTTCCTCGCCTCTCTCGACATACTCTGAATCAAGTCTTACCACGAACTTTTTTTTCATTGTCTCATCTTTCCTACTCATGCTTGACTGTTCTCTTGACCTTAAGGGGGTAGAAGTGCTTGAACCTGGATAAGAGCAGAGCACTCACACCTTTGCCCGTTACAGCTCGTATTTGTCCAAAGACTTACACATCCCTCCACTCCGGTTGGTCCCAGCGACCGCTCTTGGAATCTCTTGGAGAGCTTCTACCAGGTGATTCGGAAGTTGGTCCATCGTTACCTGTCTTCTTGCTGTTCACACTCAATCGATTCAGCCTTTCCCCCGGTGAACAACTGTCAACATGGGAAAGAAAGATCCCGAGGCTGAGGCTATGGCCAACCACATCTCTGGACAGTCTAATAAGCCCATGTCCAGGCCGGCACATGCTTTGGCTACCGAGCAAGTTGTCCAGGAGCTGAGAGCCAACCCAGACGACGGCTTGACACCCGAGGACGCCAAGACTCGTCTCGAAGAATATGGCCGCAACGAATTTGGCGCCGATAAGGGCGTTCAACCCGTCAAGATCTTCATTGGACAGATTGCCAATGCAATGACCTTGGTATGGCTTCTTCGCCTTCTTCATTCTTCCATACAAAGAACGACAGACTGACGCAGACATCAAATTAGGTTCTGATCCTGGCCATGGGTGCTTCTTTTGGTATCAAGTCTTGGATCGAGGGAGGTGTCGTCGCTGGTGTTATCTTTCTTAACATTACTGTCGGCTTCCATCAAGAGTTCAAGGCCGCAAAGACGATGGATTCCCTTCGATCACTTAGCTCGCCTACTGCTCAGGCCGTACGAGAGGGCCGTAACATCACCGTTCCCACCGTTGAGATTGTGCCTGGCGACATGGTCGAGCTCAAGACTGGTGACACCATCCCCGCCGATGTTCGCATAATCGAAGCTGTCAACTTTGAAACAAACGAAGCCTTGCTCACGGGAGAGTCTCTCCCCATCCGCAAGGAGGCTGCTCAGACTTTTGATGATGAGACTGGACCTGGTGACCGCCTCAACGTCGCATACAGCTCCTCAACCGTTACCAAGGGGCGTGCCCGTGGTATCGTCTTCGCTACTGGCATGTATACCGAAATTGGTCAGATTGCTGCCGCCCTTCGGGGCAAGAACTCACGCCGCCGAGAGGTCAAGCGTAAGGAGGACGGCTCCGCCACCTTTGGGCGCTACCTTCAAGCATGGACTCTGACCCTTTCCGATGCTGTCGGACGCTTTTTGGGCGTCAATGTTGGAACACCTCTGCAGAGGAAGCTGTCTAAGTTGGCAATTCTTCTCTTTGGTACCGCTGTCGTGTGCGCCCTGATCGTACTGGGAGCAAACAATTTCAACACAACGCAGGAGGTTGTGATTTACGCCGTTGCTACTGGTCTTGCGATGATTCCTGCCTCGTTGGTTGTGGTCTTGACGATTACCATGGCTGCTGGCACGAAACGAATGGTCCAGCGTCACGTTATTGTTCGCCAGTTGAAGAGTTTGGAGGCCCTCGGTGGTGTTACGAGTAGGTTCACCCCAAAAGCACTGATGATATTAAACCAATGACAGATGCTAATCCACCCGTAGACATTTGCTCTGACAAGACCGGAACTCTTACTCAAGGGAAAATGGTTGTCCGCAAGGCCTGGGTTCCTGGAAAGGGTACATTCTCCGTTAGCAACACTAACGAGCCCTTCAATCCTACAACGGGCGACCTCGGTCACAGTTCTGGCCAGCCCAAAGACATCAACTTCGGTTCCAAGGAGGGTGATGGCGAGCCATTCTCCAATGCCGAAGCTGAGGATCGTGTGAAGGAGAGTACCGTTCTCACGGACTACTTCAACGTCGCATCCCTCGCCAACTTGGCCAATGTCCACAAGACCCCTGAGGGAGAGTGGCACGCCCGTGGTGATCCTACCGAGATTGCCATTCAGGTTTTCGCATCCCGTTTCAACTGGAACAGGCTGCGTCTCGCTGGCGAGTCCAACCGGTGGCAGCAGATTGCCGAGTTCCCCTTCGACTCCGATGTCAAGAAGATGTCCGTCATCTTCGAGGACACTCAGACAAAGGCAGCATCGGGAAACAAGACCTGGCTCTTCACCAAGGGTGCCGTCGAGCGTGTCATCTCTTCTTGCCCTACGATTCAAATGGGCGGTGATGTCGTTGAGCTTACCAAGGACATTGAGCAGGACATTTTGGCCAATATGGAGGCTCTTGCCCGCCTTGGACTCCGTGTCCTGGCCTTTGCGAGCAAGTCTGACATCGGTACCGTTGATAACCATGATAACCTTGATCGCGCCAACTTCGAAAAGGACCTCACTTTCCGTGGCCTCATCGGTCTCTATGACCCTCCCCGTCCCGAATCCGGTCCTTCGGTCAAGAAATTCCACGAGGCCGGCGTCAGCGTTCACATGCTTACCGGCGACCATCCCGAAACTGCTCGTGCCATCGCCCTCGAGGTTGGTATTCTGCCCACGCGCATGAATGAGATTTCCGCGAGCGTGGCGAAAACGATGGTCATGGCTGCCCACGACTTCGACAAGCTCTCAGACGACGAGATTGATAAGCTGCCCAACCTCCCGCTGGTCGTCGCTCGCTGTGCCCCTCAGACTAAAGTTCGCATGATTGAGGCTCTTCACCGACGTGAGCGCTTTGTGGCCATGACAGGCGACGGTGTGAACGATTCTCCCAGTCTGAAGCGAGCTGACGTCGGTATCGCTATGGGTGAGAGCGGCTCTGATGTTGCTAAGGAGGCGTCCGACATTATCCTCACTGACGACAATTTCGCATCGATTCTCAATGCCGTTGAAGAAGGTCGTCGCATGTTTGATAACATCCAGAAATTCGTCCTGCACGTGCTGGCCTGTAACGTCGCCCAGGCTCTGACTCTTCTTATCGGCTTGGTCTTCAAGGATGACAGCGGGCTTTCCGTGTTTCCCCTTGCGCCTGTCGAGGTCATGTGGATTATCATGATTACCTCCGGTCTTCCTGATATGGCTCTCGGGTTCGAAGTCGCTGCCCCGGATATCATGGACCGACCTCCGCAAGACGTAGGTTTCTCCGGGTCATTTCCTTTCATGCCCGTCGCAAGACACTAACCTAGTCTAGATGAAAATCGGCGTCTTCACCTGGGAGCTGATGCTCGATATGCTTGTCTATGGTGTCTGGACTGCTACTCTCTGCCTTGCGTCTTTCGTGCTCGTCATGTTTGGCTGGGGCAACGGCCAATTCGGTAGCAACTGCAACAACACATACTCGGAAGAGTGCGATACTGTGTTCCGCGCCCGCGCAACCTGCTTCGCGAGTTTGACCTGGTTCGCCCTCTTCCTCGCCTGGGAGATGGTCAACATGCGCCGCTCTTTCTTCCGCATGCAACCCAAGAGCACAAAGTACTTCACCCAGTGGTTCTGGGACACTTGGCGCAACAAGCTTCTCTTCTTCGCCATCCTCATCGGCTTCATCACCATCTTCCCCCTCACCTACATTCCTGTGCTCAACACCAAGGTGTTCAAGCACGCACCTATTACATGGGAGTGGGGCATCGTCTTCGTCGGCGCGGTGCTCTTCTTCATGGGCGTAGAGTCGTGGAAGTGGGCGAAGCGCGTCTACTTCCGTCGCGTGGCGCACAAGGCTCACGGCGGCACCAAGGACCTTGAGAGCCGTGTGTTTGGCCACTACTATACCATTGGCGGTGTTGCGCTTGACTCGTCGCCTACCCTTGGTAGCCGGACGATGACGAACGAGAAGGAAATGCGGGATAAGGGCTACGGGTACTCTAGCGGAGGCAGCAGGTGATTATGGGTAGGTGATGCACATTCTCGTTCATAGCGGAAGATTGCAAATTTGAGGAGAACAAAGTGTAGGAGGCGAAGTGATGATTCAATGAGTTCATATTAGATTTTCATGGATAAAGATAGGCGGTTGACAACAACCAAGAATGAAAAGCATGTTTTTTTTTTAGTACGCCTGCCGCAAAGCACACGCGAGAAAAGCAGATTTTTAATTATTACTGAATAGATTACTATGAGACTATCAAACCTATTGATCAAAGGTAGAGATATAATGCTCCTGACGGTGAACGGACATCAAAACCACGGCACTTTCAACCACTCCTAGTCATCGCTCGCGCATACAATCTTCTTCCTCCTATCATTGCCATACCCATGTTCGATATGACTACATGACTGTCAAGAACAGGACCTGAATACCGATCCACGCCACGAGCATCGACCACATGATGGAGGTAGATGAGCCCTTGGAGGTTACATATATGGTCCTGGTGGGCTTGACCGAAGAAGTAGTCCTCGTCGCCTTTGCTTGCTTCTTGTCCGAGGTTGAACGGGCTGTCGGTGTAGGCGTGGTGTCGCTATCAGCGGTCTTTGTAGTTGAGTTCTTTGCTGACGACGAGGATGAAACGCATTTGGTGACCAGCCTCTCAACTGTCGCAGTGACGGTAGCAGTCTTATCCACGGCGGTAGCTTTGGCGTCGTTCAGCAGGACGCGGTAGTTCGAGGCTTTTGCGTTGAGGGTAGACGCAGCTGCCTGCAGTGAAGACGACAGCGCGGCTTGGATTTTGGCGTAGCGGGGGACTCTGCGTGCGAGGGTGCATAAGGAGTCCTGAGCCGAGCTCTCCTCGGGCTTGCAGGGTCTGATTGGCGTGTTTGCCATCTTGAGAGCTGCTGCGGTAGGGGCCGGTGCTGCTGTGATCCCACGAGGAGAGAGGTTCTTCGCAGGCTCCTCGGGAGGAGTTGGCTCGATTTCCATCTTGGCAGTTTCCGTCGCCACGGGGAGAGCAGGAGCCTGAGATGGATCAGGAGTAGTGGTATTATACAGAGGAGGAAGGCCAAGCTTCTTCGCGAGGGCTGCCATCCGTTGCTTCTCCCGCTCCCTCTCCTGCAACCTCGCCTTCTTTCGCGCTGTCTTTTCGAGCTGATGGATGTTGGCCCATTCGTAGTAGGTGGGGAGGTGATCGCACGAGACCCTGCAGGCGCCCGTGTTGGAGACGTGAAGCCCGACGCGGATGCACTCCTCCTTGTAGCGCATACCGATGTTTTGGGCGTAGTTTTCGTAGTCTTTGTTGAGGGGGCTACATCTTTGCTTGTCTCCTCCGGCGATGGCGGAGGGTGTGAGGCTTAGGAGAGCCAGAAGGAGGGCGATAGGGGCTATCATGTTTGTTGTAATTTGAGGTTGCTCTTGAGGTGATTGTGCTCGAGATGAGGTTGGGAAGACTTTGTATAGGCAGCTCCGCGTGAGGTCTAAAGATTGTTAAAAGAGGAGAGGTTCATCGAGCAGAGGCAAAGAAAGGCGCTCTAGATTTAAATATGCAGAGTTTTGTGCGAATTCTTCACTCGAGGCTCCTTGATGGCTTACTCCGGTGTATGGTTCTCATCGCAAGGGTTCATGATGCCGGAGTTGACTTTTGCTCACAAGCGGCAAACATCAATCAAGGTACTTTGGCGTCCCGCGATGGACATTCCGAAATCCTTTATCTTGATCTCGCCAAGTTTCTCAAAGATGGACTCGTAGCCACACGAACAGTTGGTTGTGGCATGAACAACCTCATCCATGTTCTCTTCTTGCAGCCACAAGGTCGAAGCATGTCAACTCTTGTCAGTCAATGTAAGACTCTCACCGAAAACCTGACAAGGTCAGCGAGCGCTCCACCTCAGAGATTTCATCTTGTTGGGCAGACACCGTTGGTCAAGAGCGGATAGAGTTATCGCACAGAACAGACTGTTGGCCACAGCTCCCCTAAACCTTGGACCAACCAGGACTTTGGCCGTTCCCCAATGGGGCATGTGAGCTATCGCATCAGCCGTGGGCCCTCTAGTCTCGGTGCTCCCTCCATCCCTCCGGAGTCCGGATAGAGTCTGTTTAGTCCCATTTAATTGACTCTTTTCTCATGAACCTGGTTCATCACTGCTCTCAAGGTCTTTCATCTTGTCTTTGTGCGGGAGCTAGCCACCGCGCCGGCTCAAAGTTGGGGTTCTTGAATGAACTCTGATCCTTAGCGCGTAAGGAGTAGGCAGAGATTTTGATCGCATTCTTTACCACCACATAGGTGACGGAACCTTGATGTTGCACTGATGTTGGCTTTGCTCCCATAACATCTTTCCATAAGGCTACAATTTCTACGTTGACTCAGTACTACACAGCCAAGCAGAAAGTGGCGCCGATGGAGCAGAGACAACGCAGACGGATTTCGTGAAATTAGTGTGCCCTGATTTTTTCCAATCTTCAACCCACTTCATGCTGCAAATGGCTCGCAGATCTCGCCGAGGGGCCGTCCGTCACCCACCAAACCCACCAAACCCACCGAGATCGTCCAGCCTCTCCCAATCCTCGCTGACTTCTTCTCATTCCCAAGAAATGTGTACATCAAGCTTATCCGATATGGTGTAGTGGCCAACATGATGCCCTCTCATCACTGTGAGAGGTTAGGCATAGCCCCGAGTTCGATTCTCGGTTTCGGAAATATCATTCGTTTTGACCCTTTTGACAACTTCGCCGACGGTACGGTTCGCAGACAAACGATATGATTCACCATTCTAACCTTCAAACCGAATGCATGCAAAGGTGGCTTACTTTTGATCCTCTTGCTTCCTTGGCTTCCATTTGTTTCGTAATCAGAGACAAGGCAGCATTGACTAGGTAAGCCGAGGTTAATTTGGACTTTGGAGAAGCGATCTACCTATCCGTAGCTAGCTTCTCAGACGTTCTCCTTACCGTGTTCTGCATAGCCGGGAGAATACCCTCAAGCTTGGTGGGATTCCTCCGCACGCGTGACGTATTCAGTTCCCAGACACCTCCACTCCCGCAACCTTGAACGCTATTTAGCGGATCTTACCTGGTCCCCGAGCACATCTCTCCGTCCACATCACGGACTTTTCCCCCTCACCGTGAGTCCTTGACTGCTTGAAACCCGCGAACCCGGATTTCGGCGACGGGCAACCATTGAACCGCCGGAGCAGAGTTGTGGATACGACCTCAACTCTTCATTTCTTATATAGCATACCTTGAAACCGAGTAAATCATTACCTCATCATACACTACCCTTCTTTCAGTACCTTGCCTTACCTTTAACATCGTCGTCAACGAACAACATGGCGGCATTGGTTCCCGTTTTGGTAGCCGGCCTCGCCATCTTCGGAGGCTTCAACTATGCTCCAACAGTCAAGAGGTCAATCGCCCTTGCAGGAATCGGACGCGAGAAGCTAAACACCCCCGTGGCTCAAGCCGGAGACTTGATCTACATTGACGACACAATTCATTGCGAAGATATCCATTACCACGAACCAAGCGGGCTCCTCTTCACGGCTTGTGAAGACAATGAAGAGAACCGTGCCAAATGGTTCCCTGGCCTCGGAAACCTCAATGATCCACTCGTGGGAAGCAAACAAAAGGGCTCTATTCACGTCATTGATCCTAAGGTATGAACATGAGATGCCAATGGAAACTCATGCCTTGTGCATTTGACTTACTCGCTGAATTAGGATATGACCCAAAAAAGACTCAAGTTTGAGAACTTTGACTCGACCTATGTTACCCATGGCATCGATGTCATCACGGACCCCAAGAGGGCCGATGCAGTTTACATCTTCGCCGTCAACCATGTACCACACCCAGACTACCTAGCAACCAAGATTGGAAGCCAGGACTCTCAGCAAGTCACCCAAAAGTCTCAATCGCGCGTTGAAATCTTTCACCACATCCTCGGATCATCCACCGCCAAGCACCTGCGAACCGTTATTCACCCGCTGATCAAGACTCCCAACGACATCTTCATTAAAGACCCGTACTCATTCTATGTAACTAACGATCATTATTATGCCGACGGTGTCGGAAGACATGTCGAGGATATATGGCCAGGTACAACCTGGACCGACACCATCTACGTTCACATCGAGGAGATATCATCTTTGGTTGCCACAGAAGGCATCAAGGCCGAGGTAGCTCTCTCGGGGATCCGCAACAATAACGGCCTAGGCCACAGTCGCAAGACCGGAGAAATCCTAGTTGTCAACTGCGCCGGCGGCGAAATGCTCATTGGCGAGCTATCTTCAGACCCGAAGAACACCACCATCAACATCATTGAGTCCGTCCAAGTGGACTCGTATATCGATAACCCCAGCTACTTTGATGACCCATATAAGACTGACGTCTTCGACGCTAGCGGCTTCGTTCTCCCTGGCCTTACGCGGCCTGTCGATATCCCGAAGCAAGTTCACAATACTACATCGGACATTGGGTCGATTGTGTGGTACGCCAAGCCAGCTGCGGGCAGCAACGGAGGCTATGAGAAGAGATTAGTATTCGAGGATGATGGCACTAGGGCCAGATCCGCAGCGGCGGCTGTCTTGGTCGCTATTGATCCGGCTCAAGAGAAGGGAGAAAGAAAGGCATGGCTCTTTGTCACTGGCTTCATGGCTGGTAGTGTTGTTGCCGTCAAGATTGATCTTTGAGGGCGCGACGGATGATCAAGGAACACGCCCCATGTTTACAGCACCCATTGAAGACTGAAGCAATGGGGCTAGTATCGATCGATTTGCATGGTTTGAGTCACTCGTTGGCATAGCTCAGGGGCGAGGATTTGCAGGGTCGGGGAACATTGGCCGTATTTCAGGATTGAAAAGCGCAATGCCAAGCTTGGCAGACGACGATGAAGCATACTTGCATGATTTCTTTAGTTTTGTATTCTGCCCAATTTCCATACCCTACTCTGTATGTACCAGACAATGAATATTTACTTTGACATGACTTGCTTTGTCAAAAACCTCTCCTCACTTGAGCTATGG